GCAAACTGCAGTCATCCTGCATAGATGTTGAGGACACCTATCATTCCATCAGGCTAGCAGGTTCTAAAAGTTCCATAGACAAAGCATGGGCCATGGCCTATGGAATGGTTTCCAAGGCCTGCTGTTACAAAGGCTCTATTTATAGTCGATGGCTTTGCTGGTCACCTTGTCTAAGGGAGCCAAAAGAACACCCAAGGTAGGGTACATGCTGTTCCCAGTACTCACAGAGGCCTAGTGGCAGTTGGGCTTCTCTTTATTAGTGGGTACCTCTAGGGCAACATTTTTTCCATGACTATATATGGAGTATTTCTTTGACTTCCTATCCACATGGCCTTGGCATGCAACCTGAGGTGGTCCATTATTAGTCTTCAGGCTCTGGAAGCCTTTTTTTGATGTGCCAAACTGGACTATTAGATTATGGGTGATTATGGGTTGTAATATTTTTATCTGTAACAAGTCCTGGATTAACAAAGTATGTCTTTTTCTTTTTTTCTATTTGGTATGCACTGCTTCTTTTGTTGAATAACCCATTCAGGCTTAGGCAGGAGTGATTGCCACTGTTATGGCTCAGATGTGGATGGTCATACACCCTCAGGAAGTGGTGATGTTGTAGGCACCACCAATATCTACAATGCTTTCAGCAGTGGAAATCATGGTCACCAGCATCTAGMATGGCCCAAAGGTTCCTGCCTACAAAAAGATAAGCACCAGGGGTCATTATACTTTTTTCTAAACCTCTTGACATCAGTTTAACTTTTCCCCTAAGGGGGCCTGGAAATATCATCATGTGGGTTTCATTATCTAAAACCCCCAGAAAACTTTGAGTTTTCCTCTCTTATCTTGACTGAAGAGCATAGGGCCACTGACTTCTGCTGGGGACCCAGAGATCTTGGTTCTGTTTCCAGCTGCTATGATAATACCCTCTATGAGGAGGCTCTTGTTAGACAACCACAGTGTTTCACTGAGCCTAAACCTGTCCACATAACAGTAACTTTATACAGTGGACCTTCTTGAGGGCTACACAAATCTCCTAACATAGCACATTGCAACTTAGTATATAACTGAGGAATAAGCTGTATAATGTTGCTAACTCTGTAACCTGCTTGTGATACAATGAACAATATGTACTAATGATGCCAATGAACTAATGTAACCTGTTGATATAAATAAAGCTGGCAGCTGGGGGAGCAGTCTTTGCTTTGCCTCTGTAGCTGGCTTCTATCTCCTTTGGCTTTCCTTGAACTTCATCTGATATGGGATTTGAAAATATTTTCTATCATCCTATAGCTTGCCTTTGCATCCTCTTAACAAAGTCTTTTATAAAGCAAAAGGTCTTTCATTTTGATGAAGTCCAACTTTTCTGGATTTTGCTTTTGATGTCAAGTGTAAGAACTCTGTCTAAACATACTGCATTTTCCAAAAGTCTATTATTTTACATTTTATATTTAAATTGGTAATCCATTTTTATTTTTATTTTTTATTTTTTTGCATTATGGTGAGACTTAGGTCAAAGTTTATTTTTGGGGTGCCTGTGGATATCCAGTTGCTTTAGCATCACTTGTTGAAAATGCCATTTTCTTCCATCTAATTACTTTTGCCTCTTTGCAAAAAAAAAAAAAAAATTGAGTATATTTGTGTGAGTTTATTTCTGAGTTCTTTGATTCCATTGATTTACATGTCTATCCCTTCATAATACAAATTGACTCCTGTATCTACTAAGCCCAATATTGAGTAGAGGAATTATCCCTCTTGCTTTAGTTTTTCCTCTAAAGATTATTTAGCTAACACAGGGCTTGCGACTTTCCATATATATTAGATAATTTTATGTGTCAGTTTGATTGGGCCATGGGATGACTGGTAAAACATGATTTCTAGGTGTCTCTGTGAGGCGGCTTCTGGAAGAGATTAGCATTTAAATTGGTGAGTAAAGCAAATGGCTCTCTCTAGTATGTGTGGCCATTATCTAATCTATTGAGGGGGCCTAAATAGAACAAAAATGTGCAAGAAAGTTAAATTAACTCTGCCTTACTACTTGAGGTGAGACAGTAGTTCTCTGCCTAAGTGTTCCTGGTTCTCAGGCTTTCAGACAAGAGGAATCTACACCAAGGGCTGTGTGGCTCTTAGGCCTTTGAAATATGTCATTGGTTTTCCTGAGTCCCCAACACATTAATGGCAGATCCTGGGACTTCTCAGACTCTAAAATTATGTGATTCAATTCATTATTTTATTTTTATTTTTATTTWTTTTTKATTAAACATTTATTTATTTTTTAATTTTTAAATTTTTTTATTGGTTGTTCAAAACATTACAAAGCTCTTGACATATCATATTTYGTACATTAGATTCAAGTGGGTTATGAACTCCCTGATTCAATTCATTATAATGAAGCTCTTCATATATAGATGATATAGAATGAACATAAAATAGAATGAACAACATCAACAACAAATTTTATATGTATATATTTGTTGTGATCCTCCTGAGCCACTGGGATTACAGGCATGTGCCACAATGCCCAGCAATTACTGTGAATTTTGAAAGATATGATAATAATATTGTGATTCTACTTTCACAAATATCTCATTAATATATTAATGAGATATTTTTAATATTTAATATTTTATATTAATATAATTAATATATTAATATATTCTAGCTGGGCRCAGTGGTGCATGCCTGTAATCCCAGTGGCTTAGGAGGTGGAGGCAGAAGGATTGCGAGTTCAAAGCCAGCATCATCAACAGTGAGGCACTAAGCATCTCAGTGAGACTGTTTCTAAATAAAGTYGAAAATAGGGCTGGGGACATGGCTCAGTGGTGAAGTGCCCCTGAGTTCAATTCTTGGTACCCCCACCCCCAAATATATATAGATTAAATCATGTAATTCCTGTTTTTTTTCTTTTTAAAAAATCACATTTCAATAAGGAAGGAGCAGTCAACYCTGCACCCTGCCTCAGAGAGGATGCATAAAGGTAAGAACAGAGAAATAACCATCAGATTTGGCCAGATGGAACATTCATGATGTTGATCAGTGCAGTCCCAGTGGAGTGAAAGGGAGACTAAAATGGATTGGAGAAAAAATAGGAAGAATAGAAGTAGATCTAATGGTACCACATTTTTTTTTCTATGAGGAAAAGTTATGAACTAGAATGAAGATTGGTCTAGGAAGTATTTTTTAAAGATGGGAGAGGTTGMTACTTTGGATAGTGGGGTTTCGTAATTGGGATCAAATGACTTGAGAAGGCAGCAGGGTGATTTTATCATTGACCAATGATAAAGGCCTTTCATTTATTCAGCTGGTCATTGAATGTAGTGTGGGTGGTCCAGATGCAACTGGGATGGAGAATGAGTTGTTAGGAAGAAGGGGATCTAGTCTGTTCCATTTCTCCAGTTGAGTGGGTGGTGACATTAGAAACCAAGTTCAAGGGGAGAAGAAGTTAAATGTGGGCATTTGGAGAGGAGATGGTATGAATTATTCAACCCATACAATGGAAATGCAGACATGTGAGAAATTTATTGGGAAATTTGTCCAGTTAAAATATGAAGTCATAAATATAGACTGAGACTGCTTTATGGTTGTTTTGTTAAAGCTATGCTCTGCTATTCTGCAGGCATAGAACAGGGAGATGGTTGGATTCATCCCATACATGCTTACAGAGAGGGAGGGAGAGAGGAGATAGAGATATGGGGGGGGGCGGGGGAGAGGGAGAGATGTGTGGGAGTGGGGGTAGAGAACCAATGGAACTCAAATTGTGCAGGGGAGAGATTACAACAATTAACCACAGAGTCTGAACTAGATTAAAAAAAATATCCAAGGGCATGTCAGGGGTGATGGCTGTAAAAAAAAAAAATGGAACTGTCAATAGATCAGAAGAACTTATCATATCTGAAGAAATGTTCTATTGAGGTTATTGAAAAGGCAAACTAGTAGAAAAGAAGAAATTAGAGAATGGAACATTAGAGAAAGCAATAGAGCAAATTGGACTATTATTGGTAATAATGAGGTGTAGAGCTTCACCGCTCAATGGGGGTAGCCATTAGCCACAAGTGATTAAATTTAAATTAAATAAAATTAAGTGGCTATTCCTCAGCCACACTAGGCACATTTTAGGAGCTCCACAACCTTATGTGGCTAGGGGCTTCCATATTGGATTGGGCAGCTAAAGAATACCTTCATCATCACAGAAGGTTCTGTTGAATAGTGCTGCTTTGGTATGACCATGACATGAGTGGCTGAGGAGGGGAGCAGGGATAGTTTATTTGAGGTGAGAATTAAAGATTTTGATAGTATCATCTTGGTCAATGATAAAATCACTGAGAATTGAGAAAAGACCAGGGATTAGGGACAACAAAAAGGAGCACTGTTTGTTGCACAACTCTTGGGATAAGGAGTTGTAAAGAAAGAATTGAGGTGCTGTGAACTTGTTTTTCACTAGTCACCAGAGTCATCACCTCCTCATTAGCATGTCGGGCCCCAGGACCATCCACTACTAAGGCCAACCTTCTATCCTTCATCTGGGCCCACATGGCACTTTTCCCAGGAGAGTCATTGGCATTCTCTCTAGATGCTTGCCAAAGACGAAACTGAGGCATCCTAGTCTGCAATCAACTCTGATCCCAGGCAAACAGAGAAAAGCCTCATAGTTCATCCATATATGCAGAGTTTTCAGGCAGATGTCTTCTTGTCTTCTCCATCCCTGGTTGGGAAGAAAGGAATGAGGCTAGGAGTGGGAACTGGGACTTCTGGCTCTATCATATGTCAGGGAAGACTGGGACTTCTGTTTCTATTTTGACAACAGAGTAAGCAGCACAGGACCATTTCCAATCCAATACAGGGTCAGTGGACACATGGAGGAAACTCCATTGAATTTTTTTCCAAGGGAGAACAAGCAAGACCCAAGTCTCAAGGTTCCAATTATCTGGGGATACCATAAGACAGACCAAGACCAGGTTAGATGTTTACTGGGGACAGGAGACACAGTGCCCCTTTTCTGCCAGTCTCTAGTTGTTGATGATCTCAATGTGGAACTGCAGGTGAGTGGAGGTGATCACACAGTGGCCCCGGAGGGAAGCACATGTCTGGCAGTTGTGGCATTGCCAATGGCACTGAATGACATAAATGGCATTGAGCACCTGGCAGTATCGCCAGTGGATGCGCCACATGCGAATCAAAGACTGGAGCTTGACCACTGCTCTCTCTCTGCATGCAAAGTCAATCAGTGCSGTCCGTCGCTTCCTCTCTGCCACCCGCATAAGTATCGTCCGCCACCAGCACTGAATGATCCATGCCCTGAGGGCTGCATGCTGCAGTGTCCGGCGCACCAGGGTGCCCCGCCACCAGGCCTGGATCTTGATGGCTTCCTTTGTTTGCTTTTTCTAGATGGAGATAAGAGAGACCACTCAGGGAACGTTGTCAGGGGCCTGGATCCTCTTTCCTAATGTCAGCTTGTCATCCCTTCAGCCCTTTCTTGGAGAGTTCAAGGGAATTAGCAGGACACCAACCAGGAGCCAGGAGACCTGGTTGGGATCTTTCACTGCCACTCGGGACCTCAGCCTCAGTCACAGTGTCCTTCTCTTGACTACCTCACTAGTGAATAGATCAAGAGAAAAACAATGAGCAAATAGAGAGGTGTAGGAAGGAGGTGAGGGACTTTGTTTCCATTCATCTCTTCAGGACTTTTTGGGTTTGAGGTTGGCCTCCCAACACGTGAGCCTTGTTTTTCTTTGAATACTTCCTATCTCAAAACACATTGGCTGAGTTTTCTCTGCCACAAGCATGCTTTTTTTTTTTTAACATTTATTTTTTAGTTGTAGGTGGACACAATACCTTTATTTTATTTTTAGGTGGTGCTGAGGATCAAACCCAGTGCCCCACACATGCAAGGTGAGAGCTCTACCCCTGAGCCACAGCCTCAGCCCATACTGTCATATGTTTTCAGCACCTTCACCATATAATGTGTCTCCCAGTCTTCCTGTATTTGGAACATTCTACCATCTAATTCAGGTCCTCACATTCCTGCTTCTAGCCCCTGCATCCTCTGACGGACGCCATTCTTTCCAATTACTCTCTATGCCACAGAGCCAGACCCAGAGAGCCCAGGTTAATAAGGGGACAGATGGGAAACGAGCCAATATTGAGTTGATTGCTGGGTGGTTTATACTCTGGATCCATAGAGGCAGAATCCCACACCCTCACGTCATAAATGGTCTGGATTTCTCTTAACGGTGTGGAATTCTACCCACCTTATCTGTCTTTTTCGGTGACTTCTTCTTTTTTTTTTTCTTATCTTTCTTCTTAGTTTTAATTGAAATGAGACGGCCTCCACTCTGTCACGCAAATAAAATGGGAAATGCATCCATTAGTTAAGACTGCTGTTTCTTTCTATGGCTCTGTACACAGGCACAGGCTGCAGTGTCCTTTTCCCCACCCAAGATGTGTAAGGTCCAGGRTGATACCCACATATCCCTTCACCCCCATAGGAAGATCTGACCATGTATCTTACACAAAATTTAATCCCCATGGCCTGTCTCTAGATGGTTCAATTGTCCTGATTTTTCTGCTTCTAAGGCCTGGCCACTAGTAATATGAGTGAGGGGAAAGCTATGAATTCACAATTGCATTATGACATAGGGATTAAGGTATTGGCCTTAGAGTTGAGTCTTCCTCAGAATAAAGTCTTCCATGGGAACACAAACCATCCGTCTACTGCTCTGTCAAGAGATGTGCCAGAGCTCAAGATGGAAAAATAGGGAATAGCCAGGGGTCTTTTAATGTGAAGTTCATCCACAGTTCTCACTGGTGATCAGTCACAGGACAGAGTAGGAGGGACYGTGGCCACATATCTCCAGACACCTCTCCACTTCCTGTCTTGCCTTGACTCAAGCTTCGGTCCCTCGCTCCACCTTAGGAAACTAGAAAAAGATGGACCAGATGAATCTAGAAAGCAGTAAAATAAAGTTTAAAAAACTTAAATGGCACAAACAGCAATGAGGAGTAGAAAATACATTTAAAAGGCAGTATTTTGAAAAGACCAGTATTAAAAGAGAAATAATCTCAGAAACCTGGGTGATCAAGAAAGAGTGGAATGCAAAAGGCAAAAATAACCATAGGGAGATTTAAATTAATATAAAATAATATTATGGTTACATCTGAACACTAAGAGATAATGATTTCCAGGCAAAATGTAAACTTCCAACATTAACTGAAGAAAATGTGCAAAACTTAATTATTGAGAAGGCCATTAAAAATCCACCCTTAATAAGGCATCAAAACCAGATAGATCCAATCCGAATGTCCAAAACTTATCAATTTAGATATTTCCAATCCTCAAATTATTCAAAGCTATTCTAAAAGATAAACATTTCTTTAGCGTTTTTTGGGGAGCCAGTGTTAATTTCCTGAAATGTCATGCTGGAATTTTGACTATTCATAAAGTTCATAGAGTTGGGGAACAAAGGCTATCTTTTAGGATAACAGAGTTTTTTTTTCTCCTAAGAACATGGACTGTCTCCATTTGTTTAGAAATTCTTTTATGTCCTTCTGTCAAGTTTTAGAATTTTGTCTGTGAAAGTCTTAATTATTATTATTATTATTATTATTATTATTATTATTATGCTGGGCACTGAACCTAGGCCTTGAGCATGTTGAACAGGTGCTCTGTCTTTGAGCTACAGCTCCAGATCTATTTGCAAGTATGATTTACATTCCATAAAACACACCCTTTTATGGGCAAAAGAACTAAGCAGACACTTCTCAAAATAAGAAACACAAATGGCCAAAAAATATATGAAAAGTTGTTCAACATCTCTAGCAATCAGGGAAATGCAAACCAAAACTACACTGGAATTTTATCTCGCTCCRGTGAGAAYGGCAATGATCAAGAACACAAATAATAAATGCTGGCGAGATATCGGGGAAAAGATACAATGACACATTGTTGGTGTGGGACTACAACCTCTCTGGAAACCAGTATGGAGAGTCCCCCCCAAAATAGGAATGAAACCACCATATAACTCAGCTATCCCACTATTTGGTATTTATCCAAAAGAACAAAAATAAGCATATTGTAACGATACAGATGCATCCATATTTATAGAAGTACAATTCACAATAGTTAAATTATGACATCATCCCAGATGCTCATCAGTAGATAAATGGATCAAGAAAAATGTGGCATATCCACACAATGGAGTTTTACTTAGCCATAAAGAAGAATGAAAATAATGGCATTTTTCAGTAAATGGATGGAAATTGAGAACATCATGCTAAGTGAAATAAGTCAGACTTAGAAAATCAAGGGTGGAACATTTTCTCTCATATGTGAAAGCTACAGCAAAATAAGGGAAGGAAGGCAGTGGGGGGAGATAGGGAAAATCAGAGGAGTAGAGAATGAGAGAGAGGGAGGAAGGATGGGAAAGGGGAGAAAATATGGAATGTATTTAACAAATTCATGCTATGTGTATATATAAATGTACCAAATGGAATTTCATCTCTGTGTGTATGTAGAAAATACCAATAAAAAAATCAATAAATATGGGGCTGGGGTTGTGGCTTAATGGTAGAATGCTTGCCTTGCATGTGTGAGGCAGTGGGATTGATTCCCAGCACTGCTTATAAATAAATGAATAAAACAAAGGTCCRTCAACAACTAAAACAATATTTTTAAAAAATCAGTAAATAAGAAAAAGGCAGGTCAGTAAAGGGGGAAGAATGGGAAAAGGGGGAGGGGAAAGAAAGGGGAGAAGGGGTGGAAATCAAATTCCTTGCATGTATGATTTTGTCAAAATGAACCCRAATGCTATGTATCTCTATAATGAGCTAATTAAAAAAATCTACCATTTTAAACAGTAGAATTTAGTGGGTTTTTTTTGTTTTTTTTTTTTTAGTATATTCACAGGTTGTATAACTGCTATTCTTATCTGATTCCAGGACATTTTCATTTCCCTCCAAACAAATACTATACCTATCAGTAGTCAATCCCTATTGTTCCCATATCTCCTCTTTGAGTTCCTGGTGACCGCTAATCTACTTTATGTGTCTATAGTTTTGCTTGTTTGGGGGTATTTTACATGACTAGAATTGCACGAATGGCCTTTTCTGTCTGTTTTCTTTTGCTTAGTATGATGTTTTCAAAGTTTATTTATATTGTAGCAAGTATCAGTACTTCATGACTTACTATTGCCAAATGAGATTCCAAATGATATACATTATTCTGTGTATCTGTCTGTCCATTCATGAGCATTTGGGTTGTTTCCAACTTTAGGCTAAACAATGCTGCTATATGCATATGTGTACAAGTTTTTGTGTGGCTATGTTTCATTTCCCTTGGGTCTATATGTAGAACTTCTGGTCATTTGAGGAACAGATGCACTGTTTTCCCTAGTGACTACACCATTTTACATTTCCGTTAGCTGTGTATGTGGGTCCTAATTCTCTCATACGCTTGTCAGTACTTGTTATTGACTTTTTGGATTAATTCTCCTACAGGGTGAGGAGAAGTTCTTCCTGAGGTTTTTATTTTTTTTGGACAAGTCATGATGTTAAATATATTTCCATGTGCTCATCAGACATTTGTGTACCTTTGGAGAGATTTCTATTTAGGTCCTTTGCCTTTTTTTGTGTGTGTGTGTGTRCTGGGAACGGAACCCAGGGGGCTCTGTATCATCACTGAGCTACATCCCTTGCTCTTTTTATTTTTTTTATTTTGAGGCAGGGTCTTGATAATTTTCCCACATTGGCCTTGAACTTGCAATCTTCCTGCCCTAAACTCCTGAACAGGTGGGATTACAGGATTGTGTCACCATTCCTGGCTCTTTTGTCCATTTTTAATTCAGCTATTATTCTTTTTATTATTGAGTTGTTAGAGTTCTTTATTCTGAACACACCTATGGTGTGCAAAATATTTTTCCCATCCCGTTGGTTGATTTTTTTCTTTTTTCACTGCTTGGAGAGTGTTGTTTAAAGTGCAGAAGTGAGATTCCACCTCTTGGGTCCCCTTCTTCCTCTGGGAGAAGTCTTTTCTGCTGTTCTTTAATAAACTTCTAATTTCTACTTTGAAAAAAAAATAAAGTGCAGAAGTTTTTAATCTTTATGAACTCCATGAAGTCCAATTTATCCATTTTCTCTTTTGTTCCTTATGTTTTGGGAGTCATGTCTAAGAAACTAATGCCTAATCCAAGAACATGAAGATTTACACCTCGGAGAGTCTTATAATTTTAGCTCTTATGTTTAGATTTTTGATCCATTTTAAGTTTTGTGAATAGTGTGGGGACAGGTTCAAATTCATTCTTTTGCATGTAGATATCCATTGTTCCAACAGAATCTGTTGAAAAGATCATTCTTTCATTAAATCATTCATCATTCATCATTGAATGGACTTGGCACCCTTGTCAAAAATCAATTGACCAGGGCTAGGGTTGTAGCTCAGTGGAAGAACACTTGCCTCGCACCTGTGAGACCCTGGGTTTGATCCTCAGTACCACATAAAAATAAATAATTAAAAATAAAGATATTGGGTCTGGAGTTGTGGTTCAGCAGTAGAGTGCTTACCTAGCACATGTGGGGCGCTGGGCTCGATCATCAGCACCACATAAAAATAAATAAAATAAAATAAAGTTATTGTGTCCAGCTACAACTAAAATTTTTTTTTTAAATAAAGATATTAAAAAAATCAATTGACCATAAATACATGGGTTTGTTTCAGCGTCTCTATTTCATAAATCCATATTTATGCCAACCACACTATATTGATTATTTTAACATTGTAAGAAGCCTTGAAATTGAGAAGTGTGAGCCCTCCAACTTTGTTTTCCTTTTTCAAGATTGCTTTGGCTGTTCTGTGTACCTTGAGATTCCATATGCATTTTGGATCAGTTTGCCAATTTCTACAAAGAAGTAAAATTCTACAAAGAAGCTGGAATCCTGATAGGGATTTCCCTGAATCTGTTGATCAATTTGGAAAGTAATGTCATCTTAAGTCTTCTAAACCATGACCACAGGATCTCTATAAATATGTTTAGTTCCTAGATTTCTTTCAGCAACGTTTTTGAGTT